TTATGTGTAGCATCCTTCTTACTAGTGCTAGTAGTGTTGGATGTATTTGCTTTGTTTGTACTCTTGTGCTTTGTTGGGATCATCAGTACGCATATGATTCGTGCATGCTTCCATCAATATTCGCCATACGTAGCACCCCGCAATTGCGGATAAGAGTGAAAGGGCGGGCGCGGGCGACGCGGGCGTCGTCGAGCCGGCGGACCTCGTGGCCCCCACCTTCCCTGTCGATGGCGCCCTCCTCCTCCTCCTCCTTTTCCTCGTCCTCATCGTCATCGTCATCCCCCTCCTCCACCTCGTCCTCCTTCTCCTCTTCTTCCTCGTCCTCCCTCTCCCCCCCTCGTCCTTTCATCATCGTCCTCCGATTGTCGTCCTCCCCCTCATCGGCCTCCATCATCGTCCTCCCATTGTCGTCCATCATCATCATCCTCCCCATCCTCCCCCTCCTCGTCCTCCTCCTCCCCCTCCTCCCCCTCCTCCCCCTCGTCCTCCTGCTCCTCCTCCTTTTCTTTCTCCACGTTCTCCTTACATCCTCTCTTCTTCCACGTTCTCCTCGTCCCCTGTTTACTCATCCTGCCTCCCCCTCCTTTCCCAAGATAACTGCAACGCAATCCTTTTTTCCACTTTATGCTCCCCGCCTTCTCTGATCAAGGCAACTCGCCAGGGCAAAGTTGCTGGACGGGCTGGTGTGGATGCGCGGGGCTTGAAGAGGTCCTTGCGGGCTCAGACGGCATGCAAAAATCCGCCGCCGCGCTTGTGCGGCATTGGTTTGTTCAGTGAACGTGGTTTGGGTCGCGGGTGGGTCGCGAGCTTTCCACCTCCACCTGGAAGGAATGCAAAAGCAGCCCGCCGCAGGTGCCAAAAAAATTGGTTTGTACACTGAACGTGGTTTGGGTCGCGGGTGGGCCGTGGGTTCTCCACCGGGAAGGAATGCAAAAGATGCCCGCCGCAGGCGCCAGAAAATGTGGTTTATACCCTGAACGTGGTCGCGGGTGGGCCGCGGGCTCTCCACCTGAAACGAATGCAAAAGATGCCCGCCGCAGGCGCCGAAAAATGTGGTTTGTACCCTGAACGTGGTTTGGGTCGCGGGTCGGTCGCGAGTTGGTCACGGGGTGGGTCGCGGGCTCTCCACCTGGAAGGAATGCAAAAAAAACCCGCCACAGGCGCCGAAAATGAAGGTTTGTACCTTGAACGTGGTTTGGGTCGAAGGAGGTGGGTCGCGGGTGGGTCGCGGGGTGGGTCGCGGGTGGGTCGCGGGTGGGTCGCGGATGGGTCGCGGGTGAGTCGCGGGTGGGTCGCGGGGTGGGCCGCGGGCGGGTCGCGGGGTGGGTCGCGGGGTGGGTCGCGGGGTGGCGCGGGTGGGTCGCGGGGTGGGTCGCGGGTGGGTCGCGCGGGGTGGGTCGCGGGGTGGGTCGCGGGTTGGGTCGCGGGTGGGTCGCGGGAGGGTCGTGGGTGGGACGACGACAACACACAACAAACAACAACAACAACAACAACAACAACAACAACAACAACAATCACTTTACCCGAACGCTCAGTGTTCTCACCAGTGCCAGGGTTTTCATGCGACGCCAGCCAATACCCCCACTTTGTGGGGGGGCAGTGCAAGCTCTACCAAATATCCACACGACTCTTCGCCACCACCCACACCCAGCTTCCCGCCCTATGACGTTCGGACACTTCACTTCGTGGCCTGCGGACGACCGTGGCTACTACACTGGCGTGGAGTACACACCCACAGAAGTTGTTAAGCCTACGTTCGTACACCCACAGAAGTTGTTAAGCCTTGTTAACCCACAGAAGTTGTTAACCCACGGTGCGATTCGTGTGATTTTATGATGCGCGGTGCTAAAATTCTTAAGAAGCCCAATGGTTTTTGGAGATTTCGGCGTGCGCGCGCGAAGAAAAAACGAATGTGTCCCGCATGGTATTATTTGACAGGGATGATGGCCCTGGCAGGTGCGCAACCGTTGTCGCAGAAGTTCGAAAAAGTTGCTCGCAAAAGCCCGTTTGACAGAAATGTTTAAAAAGTGTTGGGTTTCCTACGAATCCGCAAGAGCGCGCGGGATGAGATGTTGACATTTTTTTGTTGAAAAACCATTGGTTTTTTGATGTTTTTATGTTAAAATCGCTCCGAACACTAAGCTTTTGGAAGGATTTCGTCTTGCGCGCGCGAATGTCCACTTTACCTTATTTTTTGCAAGGGATTCTTGAAATTTGATTATATTAGAACAAGAAATGTCATTTTATAGTGTTTTTTGCAAGGGAAAACGGATTACAACAAAACAACCGGATCTGGATCACATCGTTACCTGAGGCTTCCTCACGAAAATGATGAAAATGTAGCTGCGGCCTAGGCGGCGCAGGGGGGGCGCGCACCAGGGGGCCCAACAATAATTATTCTTTAGAATAAATAATGTTCAACAACAACAACAACAACAACAACAACAACAACAACAACAACAACAACAACAACAACAACAACAACAACAACAACAACAAC